CAAACACAATACACGAGGCGCCAACAGGGGCGACAATGTCTAGGAAATCCAAGAAGATTGCGCCCACTGAACAACCAAACTTGAAAGTCGACGGGCCCAATGCAAAAGGTTTCGCTTTTTTACATAGTTGCTTTTATATTAGCATTTAAAGTTTATTTTGCTAGATATCTCAACACTTATATTCATGGACATTTAAAAAAAAATGAATGTTTATCTAGTCAGGACAACTTGAAATGATCTCTTTTTTTAAGTTTTAAGTTTTCTATGAACTTAAACACATCCTTCACCTTCTTACTATCATCGTAGAAGAACTTTAACTTTAAATCTAAGAGGGCTTGTTGATCATCCTCTATTAGCAAAAGCAAAATTTTAAGTTCAGCTCAATCTATCTATCTAAACGAAGTTAGGCTGTGGATCTCAATGATAAGTTAATTTGATTAATTTCACATTTTTTTTATAAATTATTGACTAGATAAAATAGTTAAACCATTTTTTATTTCCTTTTTGACATTAATTTTTGAACTCTTACTAACATGAACACACTTCTTAGGGTCCTTTTGTTTCGCGGAAAAATATTTTATCAGAAAACATTTTCTTGAATTTCCAACCTTTGTAAAATGAGTCAACGGTAAGACGATTCACAATAAATAGAAATTCTTTGATTGAGTACACCTTAGTAAAACAACAAAAGCGCCACAGCCTCAGCTAGCAACCCTCGTAATAACATTACTTACTATAATCACGTTTCTCTCTCCTCCCCCTCTCTTATGCTTGTCGCTTTCCTTTATGGTTTTATATCCCTTTTCTTCCTGCGTTTTTAGCTTCCTATCAAATAAGAGGAGGGTCTGCAGGCTGCTAGGTGTATAACTACCTTCTTGTCAAATTGCACATCTTAATTACGATGTGAAGTTTCAAATTAAAAGTATAGTCTTAATACCTTTGAGTCTAATATCGTTCCTGTAAGCTTGGACGATCATGGAAAGTAAACAGTGTTGAGTGCATATTACGATAAATAGAATCTTAAAATGAACAAATGGATATTGAAATAGTATATCCCCAAATAATGTTTTTGCCAAATTATGAAATAGTGTCTACCCTTTGTTATATACGTTTAACCCTAAAATGGCGTAATCAGTCCTCATAGCTTTTTCCCCCATGGGCTCCGCTCCTTGTAGACTTGCCTTTTGACGAACTCATGATATGCCAGTTTCGTTCTCAATGGATATAAAATATTGAGGATATTACAATATTAGTCCTTGGTTTTTCCAGGATTTCACTTTTGGTCCCTGATTATGCTTTGTTTTGTATTTTCCTTAACGAGGCACGGACAAATCGAGATTGCAATTTTGTTTTATTTCCTTAACTCTAGGACTATTTCAGATACTATTTTCAGAATTAGTTTGTAATATACTTTTACTTGAACAGTAAATTTTCCCCTTTCATTAGCTAATTTGTTTTCTAGAACTGTTTGGAGTTGACTTTTATCTTTTTTCTTTCTTTGTTTGTTTTTTCTAATTTTTGTGGTGCTCGCACTTTGAATTTTCTTAATCTTAAGCAATTAAAAATTTTGATAATAAAAATGTTGACATGTACATTCACCTACAAAATTTTCCTAAATTTCTAAAATTTTAAAAAATTTCCAAAATTTGGCGGAAAAGCAAAAAATGTTGTTCTTGCTTTCTATAAGGCCAAGCAAAAGGCCCAAATTGCTAGAAGGTGGTGGCATGGAAGCAGTCTGGTGGGTTTTAGTTCGGGCCACGTTTTTTCCAGTCTCTACATGGTTAAAACACTCCTTAACATAGTTTTTTTGACAATATTGCCCTATGTGGATTTCACTTTTTAGCATCCCTTTGTCTTTTTTTTTATATTGATTTCCCATTTCTTTTCTTGTGGGTCCCGCATCCACTTTCCTTAATCTTCTTCCTTCTCTCTCTCTGGTCGAACTTTGTTCTCTTTCAAGAGGCAAAGAAATGGAGAATTGTGAAGGTCACATCCTTGTCGTAGGCAAGGCCACATAAACCCACCACTGGGACGTCGACGAAGCCCTCCTCCTTAACCACCGCCATCTCTACAGCTACCGATCTGACTCGCTCAACCTCAATGTAATTCACGCTCTTTGCGAGGAAAATTAGCAAATTGATCGGTGGTTATTTCGACAGCTAGATGGGGAGAGGGCGAGGAAATTAATTGTCAATCTCTGGGAGGTACTGAATGCCAAAAGGATTGGCTTGTGAGCAACGCTGCTTTTGTGAATTTCATTGATTCCTTATGCAATGAAGGGTTTTTCGATAAAGTCTTTTATATTGCAAAGAGTATACCTTAAGGCCATTGCCCTCACCCTCCCCATCACCCTTCCCAACTCCTCCTCCTTATTGACGCGAACTACTCCACCTTTTCCAATCTCATCAAATGCTTATTGCACAACCTCCTCATGCCCTCTAGTATGCACCACTCTCCGCGAACAACATCCACTTGCTGCCGTAAAACATGTGGTGCAAAGTAAAGTGGGATCCACAAAGAAAGAGGTAGAAAATTAATAAAAGAAAAAGGACACGCCCAAAAAAAGTGGAACAACACTTTCTTAAAATATTCGCTGAAGAGGGATGCTAAAAAGTGGGACCCATAAAGGGCAATATAGTCAGATTGTTATGTTGAGTAGTCTTTTAGCTATAAAAGGAGTAGAAAAAGGGCGAAAAGTTCTATGAACATCATAAAAGGTTTTTTTTTGTTTTTTTATGGTGAATTCGATGATGAGTTGAATCACACAAATCCATGAAGCTGATCAAGCAATTATTTTCTTTTGAGTAGTTTGCCACCTCTCCTCCAGATACTGTCTTTTTTAATTTCAGTGATCTCATAAGTCGAAAATGGGAGCTGGTGTGAGCAATTCTCACTCCCAAAGCATTTCCATAGAAAGGCCTGATACAAATCTTTCTGATGGGTGGATTGTTGGAGCACTTGTACGAGTTGACATTTACAACTTGCTCGATTTCAAGGAAATTTGATGATCAAGCTCTCTGCGTGGAGGAAGCTTTTCGTCATCCTCGGATAGTTGCATATATATCTTGAGAAGCATATATTAGTTCTGCAGTAGAACAAAAGAAGAATGTACCTTCCCGGGATAAGCGAGACAAGAGAATAGTTCGATTATGTTAGCTTTCAATGAAAACACTTGTATAGTCTTCCCAATAGCTCCTAGCATCCCAGATAGCCTCTCCTATTTGTTGACACTTAAAATTTAATTGCCCAATAAAAATAAATTGCATAAAATTTAGGAGTTAATTTTTTAACCCCTAAAACAAAAATATTTTTTCATTTAATCGCATGACATATAGACATTAGGCATATTTGCATTAATTACACTAAATAGAAGATAATTTTATTAAAAAATATATAATATACAATATATAATAAAATAAAAATTCGGATCAGGCCGGGTTGACCCGGCTCCGTTCTTTTTTCTCTTCCCCCTTGCCTTTGCATGAGTTGGGCCCAGCCCGACTCCCCCCTTCCTCTCTCCTTCCCTCTCCCTTCCTCTCTCCGCTGTCGCGGTGGCTGATCCACAACCGAGCACAGAGGTGGCCGGCGGACAACCAAGCCAAAATGAGTGGACCAGAGTGGAGAGCAAAGAGAGCAAAGCAGAGCATACATTGAATGGCCTAGAGGGGGCGAGCAGACGGCCGCTGGCCTGTATAAAGATTGGAGTGGAGAGAGAGACCAGGGGGCCATTTTCACAGAAAAATAGAGAGTGAAAGAGAGAGAAAACAGAAAGATAGAGAGCAATTCGAGCGAGAGTGAGTGAGTATAGGGCAAAAAGGAGTCCCAGGTAGCCTCGCCATCGCCTGCAAGCTAGCCGACGACCCCTAGCTGGAGCCGAACCGGTAAGCTTCCCGGCCCCCCTTGTTTTGCCCTGTTTTTTGTGCAGGTTGGCCAAAGCTCGTGGCTGGCCCTTTTGCGCGAACTCTGGCATGTGCCGTCACTTTTTTTAGTCCATACATCACGGCAAGGAGTGCGTCGTGATCGTCGGTGTAAGCTTCAGCACCGAAAGAGGTCGGGAACCCTTCATTCCAGTCATGCACCCCACCTATTTGACGAATTGCTAAGTGAAGTCCGAAGAAGCCGAATGGAAGCCAAAAGTGGCCGGGTGTGGCCGGCCAAATCTCGGCCGGAGCTTGGGCGCAAGATGCCCAGGCCGAGGCTTAGCCGGCGATCACTTTGGCCGGCCAGGTAGTGGCCGACGGAGGATGTGGGAGAAGATATATAAAGTCGTAGAATACATCATCAACAAGTGAAGATCGACTTAAATTGACAAAAGGGACACCACAGACGTAAACTGTTGACGGAGTGGAGATGAAATAGTTGTCCAAAGTGGTGGAAATAACTCATTCGGATGCAACCGTCAGAGGAGGTACCCATAAAGAGTTGAGTCCAATGCAACTGTCAAGTAATGAAAGTGGCAATCAATGAAGTCGAGGCAGAGCAACTGTCACCTAATGGAGGTAACGCAACCGACCGATAATAAGGTGGGTAGATGCAATCATTGGAGTATGTAGCAATCATATAATTAAAACCTTGGAGGCCATATTGGAATTGGTGATCTCGGAATAACTTCTTGTAGATATGAAGTGCTAGATCACGACAGTCATGTGTAGTTTGTGTAGTATTCTTAGTAACTGCTATTAACTGTCAATGGTAGGGATAAATACTGAACTGTAATATGTAGAGAGGACCACAAATCAATCAAATAACACTAGTTGTTCAACTTTATCTTCCTATTGATTTTTACATTCTCAGTATCTTTACATTGCCGGCAACGATTGTTCCCAGTCTCAGTATCTTTAATTTCCTCGTCATTTACATTTCCTATCTAAGAATCAACAAATGACTCTTTACAACATTTGTCGGTTTGTATCCAACTGATCCATATCTTGAAAGATATTTTGTCAACTTTTTTCGACGAAACAATTCATTCAGAGCTTTCAACCCCAAAGTTCCCCAGTTCATCTCTCGACGATGTATTTGTCTTGTACCTTCAGCTTCATCAAAATCTCTCGAGTCACCAATTTAATGAACTTCCAGTGCCTGCCATGAGTGAATTTAAGTCATGATTGTAAAAGATAACCTCAGGACACAAAGCAAGTGGTTGCCATCCACAAGCCTTTTACTGCTTACTGAATTGAGTAGTGGACCCATAAGGAAGAGACTTTTTAGGTGCTTTTGGAACTCGATGCTCCTATAATTAATCATACACTATATATATTGTGAGATTTTTGTATGTAGTTGCTTCTGAAAGGGTAACACTTCCAACCAGCGATTGACCATGGATGGACGGGAAACTTTTTTCCATACCATATAAAACTTTCGCGAAAAAGAGAGAAAAGTTAACTTTTAAAGAGGTAATCCACCATTTACCAACGCAGAGAGATATAACATTAGATCTATCGATGAAAGATTAAGAGGAAAAACAAAAATATACCTAAGATATAGTCCTTCTATTTATTAACCCATCTCCCCACTCTTAACTTACCAAAAAGAAATAGGATTTTGACTGTACTTTACCGGGTTTTTGCTTTATATGGTTTGGATGAATGACGGTTAATTCTCTTACCAAAAGTAGTTTTCAAAGCTCTCATAAGGAAAGTCCAAAACAAAAGTTACGGAGTAGTTTAGGACACCAACCATACCCTTGGTTTTTCAACTCCCATCCTTTGATTTGGGCAACACTTCTGAGGGCATCCTCCCACGATCGGGTAGCGTGGCTGCCGAATTCCTCCTCATGCTTTGCCAAAGCCCCGATGTATAGTTGAGATTGAAGCTTAACATCGCGAGGTTCCACGTCATAGAAAATCGGCAAAATCTCTTTCTCGGATGGTTTGAATTTCTTGCACTCCACCATGTGCTCAAGCTCGCGAAGGCACCAAGGGCTAGAAGCATAACCTTTAGATAAGATGGGTACGTAGATCTTCGATCTTTCAATGGCAATCCGCAGCCCATCGCCTATTTCTTGACCGACATGGAGCTCTTCCTCATCGAAGAAAACACGGATCTCCGCTTCTAGCAGATCGTGGTAAAGGCAATCCACTAATCCTTGGCGAGTGTCTGGCCCTCTGAAATTTAGAAAGACATCATAATCAATCGCCAATGACACGCCGCCAATCTTTTCAGCCTTCGAACTCTTTCCCACACCCATTCGCACAGAGTATTTTGGCAAAAAGAGGCAATTTTGTTTGTTGAACACAACCTTCTGGAGAGCAATTTTACCGATTCCGTCCATTCCATGAATTAGCGCAAAGTGCAGGTCCAACCTTAGCGAAGGCATTCTCTTCGAGTGATTCGTCATAGCAGGTGAAACCCTAGAAATTTTCAAATGATAGCGACTTTGTTATTGGAACATACGTCTAAGCATGTCCAAATATGCCCATGAAACAAGAAGATTGGGCCCAATGAACAAGAAAACTTAATGTTTATAATATTTATATGTCTACGTGGCTTTCCTATAAAAAAGAAAGTCTAACGTGGACGATGACATGGCCCTTAAAAACTCATTCTCTCTCTCTAATCCCAGAACAAACCAATCTCAGAGAGAGAGAGAGGGAGATATCGCCTACCTTAAAGCTGAAGCTCTCAGGAAGTCACGATTCATCTCCAATGGCGACCAAGCCACTCCAACATGAACTTAGAAGTGATTTTTGCGGCTCCAACTGTTTTTTTTTTTTTTTTTTTTTATTTTTTTTTAATTTTTTCCCTCCTTCTACCAAAAAGTACGAGCCCATATCCCTCCCACCAACCCTTCCCTCAATGTCACCACCTTCATCTCCTCCTGTTTTCTCCACGGCTCCACCACTTTCATTGACGCCTCATCCGGCCTCCACGTCCCCTTCCCAAGCTCCGGCACTCCATCGACTCTCTGACCTCCCGCCTCTCTACCATGTGCATCCAGAAGGGCAACGTTGTCATCCTTCTCTCTCCCAACTCCATCTCCTTTCCTGTCGTTTGCCTTGCTGTCATGTCCCTCGGTGTTGTCATCACCACCACCAATTAGTTGTCCTTCATTCTCTCAATCTAAATATGTTCTTTGTTATATTTCTTCTTCCCAGCATTTAAAACTTCACCACGGCTCCTTGTTTATCATTGCTTCGTCTTTTCTATTATCCATCCTCAAAATCGCAATGTAAAAATTTCAATTTCGGTGAAACAAAATCACACAAATGAAGTAGCTGACCTCCATGGCAAGTTTCAGCTAGTATTTTTGCCCCAAATTCTCAGTTGTGAGGTTAGGGCTTGAGGAAGAGGCTGAGAGAAACGATTTTGAGGTCATGTTGTTAAAGTTTTGTGATATCCAAAGCTTTCAGCTTCTTAGCAACTTGTTACAATAGCTAAAGAAGGGGAAAAGTGCCAAAAAAGTCTTAAACCTTTTGCATTTGTGCCAATTTAGTCCTAAACATTTTGCATTTGTGCCAATTAAGTCCTAAACCTTTTTATCTTTGTGCTAATTCAGTCCTTCCTTTCAATTTTGGCTGGATTTTGCTGACGTGGACACCGGCCGGTCACCGGTGCTGACGTGGACAACTTTTAATAATTTTTTGAATTTTTTTTTATTCTTTTATTTTTTTTTTCCCTCCCTCCTTCCTCCAGCCAGTTGCCGGATCGGCGACTGGCCAGAGGCCAGAGGTCGGCGAGGCTCCCCCTCGCCGGCCACGGCGAAGGCGAGCTTCGCCATGGCTGGGTGAGGCCCAACCTCACCGGATCTAGCGAGGCTCGCCTTCGCCGTCGCTGGCAAGGGCGAGTCTCGCGAGGGGCTAGCGAGGTCGACCTCGTCGATAGCTGGGCCAGGCACGACCTCGCCCAATCTGGCGAGGTCCAGCCTCGCCTAGCCATGGCGAGGCTCGCCTTTGCCGGCCTCTGGCCTCTGGCCGATCGCCGATCCGGTGACCGGCTAGAGGAAGGAGGGAGGGGAGGGAAAAAAAAAAAAAAAGAAAAAAATAAATAAAAAATCAAAAAATATTAAAATATTATTAAAAGTTATTCACATCAGCGCCGGTGATCGGCCGTCGGCCGGCCGGCATCCACATTAGCAAAATCCTGCCAAAATTGGCCAGAAGGACTGAATTGGCATCAAAAAAAGGTTTAGGACTAAATTAGTACAAATACAAAAGGTTTAGGACTTTTTTAACACTTTTCCTACTAAAGAAGAGTAAAGGGAAACTTCCATGCAAATTTAGAGGCAATAAATGTTTGTGTTGGAACTGAGTTGTAATTGTGTCGCATCGTTCTCCCCATTTAAGCCACATAGACCCATTCACTTTAATGTTAACACCTATCCAACCCGATCCACGTATATATCCATAATATGTTATTTAATACAATCTTATTGTAAATGGCCTTGATCACGAGACGAACTTAGTTTTACTCGTGAATGGTCTTGATTACTCTATTCACGACCCATTTATTTTAGGTAATTTTGGAACACAAAGATATATAACATTAGATCTATCAATTAAGGAATTAGACACAAAGACGCGAAAGAAATACCCTTGTGACAACATTATCAACTCAGTTTTAACATTTTCTAGTTTGCTTTGATTTTGAAACCACGTCCCACTGTCTTTTCAAAGTTAGAATCCGAAGGTGGGAAATAAAGTAATGTCAGTCAATTTCATACGACCTTATCGAAGGTTTAGGGAATAAGCGAATGAGGAAAAGCGCATAAATGCATGAAAGAAGAACGCCATAATATATAGAAACACTTTAAGATTAGGCAAATTAAATCTTAAATGAAGGACTTCACCGAAAGAATGCGAAATGGTAGAACACATGTTCCGGGAATCAACCTATAGTATATTTCTATTTCCCGGGAATAATATATAGCATGACACTCCACATCATGATATGGGAAACCAACTTACACATGCAATATGGGAAACCAACTTGCACTACAATAGCTGGAGAATTTGATCCTCGGGGAGTTCCAATTGAGGTCACTCAGCTGCCCGAGCTCCAATTGATCAACCTGAAGTGCAGTATATATGTAATCTTGAGTTAGAATGATAAAGAAGCTTTGAATTTCATTAGTTTCTCCATTTTTCTAATATCTGTAATTTCCATGCTGTTGCTGTGTGAAGGTATAATTCTACATTGACAAGTTAGCTCGCGGTCTGAATGTATGACATGGTTGAACCTGTAACCAAAAAAAAGAGTCTAAATGGATGACATGGTTGACCTGTTGCCAAAAAGAGTTTTCAAAACACACGAGGGGGTTCATTCAATTTTCAAAACGGCCTAAACGATATCTTATTAAGCTTGGGTATATGATGAATGTCCAAAACAGAAGTTAATGGAGTACTTTAGGATTACTTACCGCCCCACTTTCGCCTCGTCTGGCGGCCGAACTTCTCGCTGTCTCCCTGGGGAAACCTGATGTCTCTCCCGAAAGTACAGACTCATTTCAAGTATTGATGAGTCTTTGTCCTTTTTCTGTCGATCCTCTTGAAAGAAAGGAGGTATTTCATGCTTGAGTTTTTGTCCTTTTTCTGTCGATCCTCTTGAAAGAAAGGAGGCCTCACATCATGTTAGTAATCTTTTGTTCTTTTTAGAAAGGACGAGCGAATTTCTACCCTCGTCTGAAATTGACGACGTTTCCAAAGCATCTGGCCAGACCATGTTGTGAAGAGGACGCAAATGAGTATTGGGATCTACGGAGACAAAAGACGTAAACAGACTGTAAATGCACGTGGCGCCAACCCAAGAGACACTGCACTACCTTGAAATTCGACCGGCAGGAACTAGAGTTTTATAGATATCATATGATAGTGGCGATTATTATTGAAACAGACGTCTAAGAAGATTAGGCGCCAACAAGCACTACCTTGTTCTTCATGGCATAAACTTGAAAGTCGATAGACCCAACAGGAAATATTAGCATTCAAAGTTTAACTTTTTAGATATCTCAACGCTGAAATGCATGGATATTCTTGGTTTTATTTAATAATTGAAATATTATCCATTTAGGACAACTTAACATAAGCTCAAACTTAAACACATCCTTAACCTTCTTTCTATCCTTGTAGAAGAACTTAATTTGAAAACTAAGAGACCTCGGTAATCATTTTTTATTAGCAAAAGCAAAAGTTTAAAGTCAACAAAATCAATCTATCCAAACGAAGCTACATTGTGTATCTCAATTGTAAGTTAATTTGATTCTTGCACATCACTTTTTAATAAATTATCGATTAGATAAAATATTTAAACAAATTACATAAGTTTTTGAACTTTTGCCATCGCGATACACTTCTGGTTTTATTTTTTGTGGAAAATTATCTGTCAATATGCATTATCTTTAATTTCCGGTCTTTGAATCACTTAGGAATATGAGTCAAAAGACATTCTTTTCATAGTCAATGAAAAACATATGCTTAAATTTAAGAAAATGAATTATTTTAAAGGGGTGGGGCTATTTCCACTCTCATTTTGGATGGAACCTCACCTTTTTTTTTATAGTGAAAAAATAAAACGTCCTGATGCTATCAATACTCAATTAAGTAACAATATTACTTACTATAATTTACTATAATCACGTTTCTCTCTCCTCCCCCTCTCTTATGGTTGTCGCTTTCCTTCATAGTTTTATAGCCCTTTTCTTCCTGGGTTTTTCCTTCCTATCAAATAAGAGGGGGGTCTAGCGGGCTGCTAGGCGTATCATTACCTCTCGTAAGCTTGGGACGATTTTAGAAAGTAAACGGTGTTGAGTGTAGGTTACAATGAATCGAGTCTTAAAATGAACAAATGGATAATGAAATAGTGTATCCCCAAATAATGTTTTCGCCAGATAATGAAATAGGGTCTACCCATTGTTATATACGTTTAACTCTAAAATGGCGAAAACAGTCCCCATAGCTTTTTCCCAGTGGGCTCCGCTCCCTGTAAACATGACTTTTTATGGTGAATTCAATGACGAGCTGAACCCTAGATCCATCCATGAAGCTGATCAAGCAATTCTCTTCTTATTGAGTAATTTGCAACCTTACCTCCAGACACTGTCCTCCTTAATCAGTGATCTCATAAGACGAAAATGGGAGCCAGCGTGAGCTGTCTCACTCTCAAGGCATTTCCATAGAAAGGATATTTGACATTTATAACTTGCTCGATTTCAAGGAAATTTGATGGCCACGTTCTCTGCGAGGAGGGAACTTATCAACATCCTCGGACAGTTGCATAGATACACTGGAGAAGCATGAATTAGTTCTGCACTAGAACAGAGGAAGAATACACCTTCCTGGGATAAGCGAGACGAGAGAATATTTTGATTATGTCTGCGTCTAATGAAAACACTTTTATAGTCTTCCCAATAACACCTAGTTTATAAATTATTATCCCGGATAGCCTCTCCTATTGTTCATAGCAATTGTGTGCCACAAACAAATTGATATTGTCCTAAAGGCATTATATACATACACACACCGTGGTAGTGCAATTGGAAACTTGCTACCACCATGAAATACTAGTAGCTTACGGAACACCGTTAAAAAAGAAGCTTTATTTTTTTATATGTCGGTCACATCAATGATGTTGGGCACATGATATGTCTTCTTGTGTCTACTAATAAGTGATGGGTGAGCATCATCAAAAGCATTTATGCAGGCCGCTTCACGTCATTAGACGGATGGCTTTCTTTACTACATCCTTTGTCCAATTAATCACCCGAGGTAGCTTGCCATTACGCAGGGCCAATTCCATACTGCCAATATCCACATTGTCAACATAAGCCAATGGCATAATGGGGACATTTGTTAAATTGTGCACAATACATGATCGAGAACATATTTTCTCATAAATCTACGATAATATATAACCTGTAAAAGCACAATAATCTTTGTGAAGTTTGACTTAGCATTACTGTTGGCACTTAAAAATATCCAAGTCTTCAGTCAATAGCTCGGTTAACAGAAGCTGAGAAACAAATGACGGAGAAAGAAACATCAAGTATTGAGGACTTAGGCAAGAAAACTAGTTTTACCTGACGGAGGCTATGGGTGAAGACAGACATAGTCTTAGAACAAAGCATCAACAAGTGAAGATCGACTTAAATAGACAAAAGGGCCAGCACAAACGTAAACTGTCGACGGAGTGGAAATGAAACAGCCATTGGAATAACTTCTTGTAGATAACCAGTACTAGATCGCGGGAGTCATGTATACTTTGTGTAGTTATCTTAGTAACTCCTGTTAACTGTCGATGTTAGGTATAAATATTCGAATTGTAATATGTAGAGAGGACCAAAATCAATCAAATAACACTAGTTGTTCAACTTTATCTTCCTATTGATTTTTACATTCTTAGTATCTTTACATAGCAGGCAACGATTGTTCCCAATTTTAGTATCCTTAATTTTCTCGTTATTGACATTTCTTATCTAAGAATCAACAAAGGACTCTTCACAACCTTTGTCGGTTTGTATCCGACCAATTCGTATCTTGAAAGTTATTTCATCAACCCTTTTTGGCGAAACAATTACTAATATTCGTTCAGAGCCTTCAATCCCAATCCTCAGTTCGTCTCTCAACGATGCATTTGTCTTGTATCGTCAACTTTATCAAAATCTCTCGAGTCATTGATTAAATGAACTTCCAGTGCCCGCCACATCAGTGAATTTAAGTCGTAACGGTAAAAGATAACGAGGAATGCTCGAAGAATGGTGCCATTATCGATTGAAAATGATGGTATAATTTCAACCACCACTTTCACTTCGAGAGGAACCGGCTACAGGATTTGTGTAAATAATAAACAACCAAGGTTGGTCAATGGGTTGCCTCACATGTCAAAAAAGAAAATCTAAAGATCTCTTTCCTTTTTTCTCATCCTGAACGCACATGTTCTCTTGATCTCCGGCCCATCTTTCTCTTGGGGACCTTTTATTGTCCGATACAAATCTTTCTTTCTCATTTTAGAAAATTTTAATGCTTGAATGCTATGAAAATTCGGAGTGTTACAAAGTTAAAAGAATACTAGAAACATTGTAGATTATGATTTGACCAGCAGCGGCATTGGCGATCCGCGGCATTGACCACCAGCAACCGATGATAAGGCAGTCGATAGAACTGTGTTTGACGATCACATTCACTGCAAGGAGGAAACGGAAGATCATCATCCTCGGTCAGTTGCATATATACACTTGAGAAGCATGAATTAGTTCTGCACTTGAACGAAGGAAGATTGTAGCATCTCAGAATAAGCTAGACAGCAGAACAATTCGATTATGATAGCTTCTACAGTCTTTCTAGCTCCTAATTTATAACTTATTCTCTTGTTAAATATTGGATACACTTATATTTTTATTGGCTTGTTAGATTATATGTCATTACCGCATGCTTTAACCGTCACGTGAAATACCTTTGCTATTGTGTGACATGAAATTATATGTCTTCTTGTGTCTATTACTAAGTGATGTGCAAGCATCATAAAAAATATTTATGCATATGGTTAATTCATGTCATTAGTTGAATGACTTTCTTTGCTACATCCTTTGTTCAATCAATAAACCTAGGTAGCGTTGGGTTACTCAGGGCAATTACCATTTTCCCAATATCCACATTATCAACATAAGCCAACAGCATAATGGAGAAAATGTGTCCAATTGTGAAGTTAGATTTATCTTTCTTTTACCTTCAGCTTCATCAGAATCTTTCGTGTCATCAAATGAATGAATTTCCAGTGCCTGCCACATTAGTAAATCATCTAAGTCGAACTTGTAACAGATATTCTCAAGACAATTGACAAGTGGTTGGATGAATGACATGGTTGATTCTGTTACCAAAAATAGTTTTCAAAACACACATGGTATTCATTCAATTTCAAACTGTCTATATGAGAACTTTTCCTAGGTTGGGTATATAATGAAAGTCCAAAACAAAAGTTAATGGAGTGATTTAGGACACCTACGTACCCTTGCTTTTTCAACTCCCATCCTTTGATTTGGGCTACACTTTTGAGGGCATCCTCCCACTTTAGCATCATTTGGCGGCCAAACTTCTCCTCATGATTCTCCAAAGTGCCGACGTATGGTTGAGACTTGAGCTTAACATTGCGAGGTTCCACATCGTAGAAAATAGGCATAATTTCCTTCTCGAATGGTTTGGATTTCGTGCACTCCACCATGTGTGTGAGCTCGCGAAGGCACCGTGGACTCGAAGCATAACCTTTAGAGAAGATGGGTACATAGATCTTCGACTTTTCAATGGCTGTCGGTAGCTCATTAGCTATTTCTTTACCGACGTGGAACTCTTCCTCGTCAAAGAAAACACGAATGTTCGCCTCTCGCATAACGTGGTAAAAGCAATCCGCGAACCCTTGGCGAGTGTCCAGCTTTCTAAAACTTAAGAAGACGTCGTAGTCAATCGCCGGCAACTCACCGCCACTCATTCCAGCCTCCGAGCTCTTTCTCATGTCCATTCTCACGAGTATTTTTGCCTCAAAGTTTCCTCTCTCAAAGCACCTGATCAGTGAAAGTCTCGTTCACTTTGACTCTCCTCTCCTCAAGCCTGAAGCATTACAACTCCGCTTTGAGTTTATAGAAAGGTTTCTTTAGCCGACCGTTTTTTTCCGAAAGGTTTGTTTTTGTTTTTGTTTTTTTAGAAAGGACGAGCGAGTTCTCAAAGTATTTATCAAATTGACGACATTCTCAAAGCATCTTAGTTCATTAGGAAGACATATAAGACATTGAAAAGAATTATGCCCAATGCACATGATGAATAATTAGGACCGATATTTTAGAAAGGACAAGCCAGTTCTCAAATTGACGACATGCTCAAAGCATGTCCGGGAAATTCAAGAAGATTAGGCCCAATGAACAACAAAACTTGAAAGTCGATGGGCCCAATACAAAAAGTTTTTCTTTTTCACATAGTTGCTTTTATATTAGCATTAAAAGTTTATTTTTCTAGATATCTCGACACTTAAATTCATGGATACTTTTTAAAAAAATTATTGAAAGATTATCCATTTAGGGAAACTTAAAATAAGTTCTTGTTTCGCCGGAATTTCCTTGCGACGAAATATCTTCTACCAAAAGTCATTCTTCGATTTTTTATTAGAGGAGAAAGGTTATTTGGCGACTCCGGATAAAAAATATCATAAGCAGACAAGAAAACAACGATAACTTTACTTTAGATAGAATCGTTTAATCATGAACTATGCTGGAATTTAGTCGACGACAACGTCTGAGAAAATACAATCACTTCAACAGAACCAAACATAGACAAACTATGCCGGAATTTAATCAACGACAAAGCTTGAAAACATCAAGATGTAATGTTGGAATTTAATCGAGGACATAACACCCTAGATAGAGATATAGGCCGGAATTTAATTGATGACGCGGATTTGGAAACTATAACTAAGAAACACGCCAGAATTTAATTAACATGAGTTTGAAAATAAAAAAGTGCAACACAGAAAAGCAAAATTAATTGAAAGATAATAGATTTTTTTGTTTGTGCGGGGACTTTCCAATAGACGAACGGTGGTATTTATAGTGGTTGTGCCATAACCGTCTTTGAGCAGTTCTTTAGCAATTGTAGCCATGTTCCTCCAACTCCGAAAGTTTTGTACCCATATTCTCATCATGCCATGATCTTGTTTCCAAGCGGTTATTCCTTTAAAATCGCATGCTAGTTGCATCACGACCTTTATTGCTTGATTCTCCAGTGATTTCAAATCCGTGAGAGCTCCTTGATACCCTCTATGCATCTAACTTCCTCTTGATGCCTTAACTGGTAGTCTATCATCCTTACTACCCTTGTCGACTATCGTTAACCATCCGTCATTGTATATCGATAACTGATCAGTAGTGGTCACCGATGTACGCTAATATTGATAAAGATCCTCGTGGTCATCGACACTATGTCACATACTTAATAATATTTCATGCTCTAGTCACGTGCCTATCCATGTCGATGACTTGGTCACTTTTCAGTAGACGAACAGTGATATTTATAGTAGTTGTGCCATAACTGTTTTTGAGCAGTTCTTCAGTGGTTGTAGCCATGTTTATCCATCTTCAAAAGTTTTGTACCCATATTCTCATAATGCTATTATCTTGTTTCCAAGTGGTTGTTCATTTAAAATCACATGCTAGTTGCTCCATGACCTTCATTGGTTGATTCTCCAATGATTTAAAATATGTGATAGCCCCTTGATACCCTCTATGCATCCAACTTCCTCTTGATGCCTTAACTGGTAGTCGGTTTCCCTTACTATTATTGTCAACTATCGTTAACCATCCATCGTTGTATATCGAAAATTGATCAGTAATGGTCATCAATGTGCGCTAATATTGATAAAGATCCTTGTGGCCGTCGACAATAGGTCATGTATTCAATAATACTCCATTCTCTAGTCACGTGCCTATCCATATCGACGATTTTGTTCACTTTTTGGTGTAAACATATGCCCTCTTTTAAAAGGATTAAAAGTAATTTTAACTCCTAAAAGAGAAATACCTGTAATGTACACACTGCAAGCAGTACTAGGGTGCACATTGTTCATCTGACACTTCGTACTTTGTGCACAATAAGCTAACCTAATAATTGGCTCTTCATAGAAGAAAAAATGACTTAAATAGTCCTTGAATTTTGGCTTAATATATAATGTGGTCCTTGGATTTTTTATTTGTTTAAAATGGTCCTTAAACGCTCGGTAAATGTTCATTATAGTTGTCTCGTTTACTCAAACGATAAATTGAACGTTATTTGATGACATGGATTATAATATGCTGAGTTGGCTTTTAAAAAAATGGATGAGTTAACACGTCTATCTTTTTATCCATTTATTTTTGAAAAGGAAAAAAAATTAGGGCGTTAACGTGTCAATCATTATTTGATGACGTAAATTATAATATCCCGATTTGAGATGAATATCTTACGTTGATAATCCAAGTGTAACTTTTTTGTCCACTATTCGAACTTAATGGATTGGAGGCCACATCAGCAAATTTCGTTAATATGAATTAATAAAAGAATGGCATTGGACATTTTCATATTGTCTAGGGACTAAATCGAATATCTACTAATAAATCAAGGATCATATTGAACAAATTAAAAGTTCGGGAACATCGTTGCACATTCGATCAAAGTTTATGAACCATTTATGTAATTTTTATTCATATAACTTGGGCTTTCGTTTATTAGAAATAGATTTGTTGAAGCTGACATGTGACCACACGACGTGTACACAGTACAACCCCAACCCAGATGAGTGGTGTGTGACATTTGATGTCATTTGGGTCCTTCTTATTTCTTTTTCTCCCTGTTGTCACCTAATCTGCTCGGAGTATTGCCGTCCATTTGGCAATATCTGCTAATCCACTACATGATTCCTTTCATGACTACCCTTCATTAGAACGGATTCTCAACAATACAACTTAATAACATGCAGTTTATCTAAATCATAATACAAGAGAAATCTTCGTAATATACAAACTCCCGTAAATTTTCAAATGAACATTTAACAATTAGGGTATTCATGATTAAATGACCGTCCAATGTCGACCACGGCCTCGACCATAGACGATCATCCACGACTTTGCTAGTGTACAAGGAGCTGCTCAAAATCACGTTGACGACTCCATCGTCTTCAGCCCTGTGGATTTTGACCCCATCATACAGGAAACCATAAACTCCATAAAAGAGACGTTCCCAACCATCTTTGGGGACCGAGTCTCCATCGATGTGCAAGAGGAGGCCATCCCCAAGATTCTAGGGGCAGTTTGATTAGGCCTGACTGGACTGGAGGAGTGGACGGAAAATATGTTGATCCTGTTCTTTCACCGGCTCAGGGCACGGTCGCCTGCCACCATCGGCATGACGCCCAACGAATCCATGCTCATCTGGCTCGAATCCAATAGCCCGAGAAAGGGAGAGTGGCTGCCTAGTAGCACCAAGGCAGTGGTGGATGGGCTATGATCGAGTGGCATGGTCGGTAATGTTCTTGAATGTTTTGGAGGGAGATGTAAATACGGTCACAACCGTCTTGGGCTGTGGTGAGCGAGTCAAGACGGTTGAAAGTTGAGAGGGGCAAAGTGTTAGTGTAAGGTTGAGACATTGATTAATTAGATTAAGTAGAACCCCTAGCTAGAATGCCCTTCAATGGCTCACCTTTTTGTATTATTTTATTAAAATTGCACAAGATATAATACAGGCGTTGCAATAGATATGTCTATTTGATTAATTTTACGAACGATGATCTATTGCAGAAGCAAGCGATTGAATAATAAAATAGACAAAACAAGAAAAATGGTTCGCTTGATATGACCTACGTCCATGGTGAGAGCAACAAAGAATTCCACTATAGATTAAGTAATACAGCAGAGATTACAACTATACTTAAGTCACTCAAACACTCTCAGTGTTTCCCAGCCCTCAATTACACCTAATAACTCAGACAGTTTAACCTCACAACTTCTCATGAATTAATCTCTCAATCTCACAAACGAATTCACAAATCTTACTCGCAAGATTTAAGTCGCTTCAACTCTCTATTGCTTCAAGGTGTAAGTCACAAGAAATCGCCTCTTAGATACCCTTCTCAAAGAACATCTACTTCTTCTATATAGGCAAGAATTGGATCCAAAATAAGAAACCTCTTCAAAGAAAATTTACTTGAATTAGAAAAATTTTCTCTTCATGCTCAAACTCAAGACAGACATATTTTCAACATTATCAAAGAGATGAGCATTCATTTCTTCTTTAAAGTCCCTTGTTTGTTCACGTGATATGGAAATGTAACACTCGTTTTCTTCCCCTTGTATAATGTCATGATTACATCGACGGTCTGTCTGACTTACCAAGTCATAAGTATACAGTTTTTGTATTTTGACGTTTTCTTTGGTTGGTGAAGACAAAACTGACTTAGGGTTGTACTCCAAATGAGTAGGATATTTCAACCGATGTTTCTTTTTGGCACGAACATTTCGAGAGACCTTATGCGGCAGTTCTTGAACGGTCATGATGAATTTTTTTGAACTAAGTCCTTTTCTTTTGTAATTTGTCCTTCCTATTATTTTTTGGCAATTCTCCTTGTTGAGACTATTTAAAGAGGCAACGACGGGGCTGGTCCTCGTGAAACTTTCTCATCAAAATGGACTGAGTCGTCGCTCTTCGTGCATGTTTTGGTGAATTGTCTGCGTATGTCTAGATGTTGGTCCAAACGAACTAGTTTAGTCCAGCCTTCGCATCTTTCCACTCCGTCCAGCCCCATCTAGAAATCGTTCCGTGAGTGAATGAAAGTGCGGTTGTAAAACCTTCTCCTCATTTATAGTGTAATATCCGCGACTCGTAGAAAGGGATGTGAGAATCTCCGAAAGGTACTCGGACTAAGCGTGAATGAGGTCTAAGACCATTCGCCTATTCTCTCCTAAGGTAAGAATTTTCTTGTTCTGTGGACATGCTGTATGG